AGGGAAGACTTTATACTCATGAATAAGGTGACCAAGTTTGATAAAGTTTGGAATAGAATTAGTAAAGTTATTGTGCACACAATAACATTATTAACGACGACGACAACGACGACGACAACGCCGGACAGAAATTTTTCCCTTAATATACCTTTCCCTTCCATCTTTGATGTTACGGGCAAGGTAATAATAGCATCTTGGTATCTGAATACACATGTATAAGATATCTCTGGGAGACAACATAAAAGTATGTGTATTCAACTTGTCAAATAGGCTATAAAAAGGTTCCACCCTGTCCTTAGTGTGGGTATGCACTCAGTAATGTATCATCCTGGTATCCTACTTTGTAAATACTGTCCTCTTGTGACGAAACATCATTTTATTATTTCAAGTAACTCATATCAGGCGACAACTCACCGGTGTTTCTCTGTATATTTAACCATCAAAGGTGCAAACTCATATAGTATGAAGACGCCAGGAAGACCGTGTTCTCCAGCCGCTGATGCTAGCGATGTACTTACAACTTTTTCATGTTTGGTAACAGAGTACTGATTTGATCTTGTGGTCGCACCATTTAGTTTAGTGTAGGTTGTTGGCACTATTTTCACAAAATATTGGTACATGATGGAAGCTGTTTGAATAGAAAAAATATAGATGTTTATATTATGAGATGACACAGTTAAAGTTATCAATATATCTGACAGATTTTAATTTACTTCACAGAACCAGTCAGGATATAGCAGAGAATTGATATCCAAGAACAAAAGAATTTCAAAAAAAAGGGATCAATGAAAGTTCACCTTGAAAAAATTGCTTTGTCATTTTTAATTTTGGGATCAACAGTATTTTCTGGTATTTCTTGATTTAGATTGATGTACTTGGTTGACCACAGAACCCAATTGATCTCATTTTAGTTTCACCTCAATCGTCAAGATCATTCAACTGTGAGACGCCATCTATGAAACCTCATTGTTTACTTTTATCTGATTGCCGAAATTGCATCAGGATTTCAGTAAACAGATACATTTAAAAAGCATTGGAAAAACGTAGATACACTTGTATTAAAAAAAAGACATTCCATAGAGATCGCCAGTGAGTTGAATGTTGTCGTCTAGGCTGTCATAGTGTATTAGTTTTTTAAAGTAAGCTTTTTTGTAAACACTGCCCTCTTGTGACAAAATATCATTTTATTATATTCAAGCATTTTTTTAACATTAGAAATTCGAAAAAAAATAGTTTTTACAGTATACATGACTATTTCAATAATTAATTTGACTTATGGTACTAAACATAATCACAAGATCAAAACGAATTTTATAACAGTAAATTGCATTCAGTTAAAATAAACTATGTGTACTGTAAACGGCAAAGAAACAGAAATTTTCCTATATGGGTGGCAAACTAAAAGTGTAAAAGCACAAGACAAAATGTTAGTAACCATAACATCAAGGAAAAACATAGGGCTTGGACGGGAATCGAACCCGTGACCTCTCGCACCCGAAGCGAGAATCATACCCCTAGACCACCAAGCCAACCGGTCACGTGTAAGGCCCAAATAAGGTATATGAATGTTGAATGGTAATTACGTGCACCGGAATCATTCATTGCATCTTGGGAGCAGGTCAGAAGCAACATGGCAAATGTTTCTACTGCGTAAACTCCGACAAGATTTAATTGCAACATACCAATTACCCCAAAATCATAGCGAAGATCTATTGACTGAAATATACGTAAATACAGGTAAGTACAAAGAGAAATACAGTCTGTCGTTTGTCTATTGCGGGTGAGGGGACTTCACGATATTTGCGTTTATTGCAATGACCGGCATTTTTAAAACTACTACAAGTTCATTGGAAAGACTCCTCGGTCCGTCGTTTTGTCCATTACCACGACCTTCACAAATCTACCGCCAGGCAATTTTCTCCAAAACAGCGAATTTCTCCAAATTTCGTGATTTTTTCCAAACGGCAACAAATTAAATTGACCAGACTGTGTCGACTGTGCTCGGGTGAAACACTGTACATTACGCTGAGATCTAGTCACGTATACGTGTGATTCTACAATTACCTTCGACTAGTACTTAGGTTTACAATTAGTTAACCTATTATTAGTGGAGCTTTGTGTGGTAGAAATATAAGAACTCCTTTTGCATATTTACATACGACACAAGTGCCATAATTTGGGATAATACGGTACTGGGGGGTTAAGTTTTTGGCGTACATGGCTTTGATTTTGAAATGTTGTTCAAATAGTTATTTACGCATTCTCTATTCACGAGTGTCATCATCATAATAATGTCTAACATACCCAGAAAAAAACAGCTAGCTACAAACACTGAGCTCTGTGTTGCATGCAACTGTACCAACCAATATCATTCTATACACATGCACTAGTGAGGGCACATGTACAAGTTTTTTACAAAATATTCACAGTATAGCATTCATAATAGAGAAAACAGTAAAATGAAGCATTATAGGTATTTATAAATTCACTGCTTACAAACTACAAGATAATGAGCGTCTTGGCCACTTTAAAATTGCCTTCCTTCAAAATGTTATAGTTTCGGTGCATTTGAACATGGATGTACTAAGAATAGTACATCCATGATTTGAAGACTGAATTTTAGTTTATGTAACTGTTTATGTTTATGTTTGAGCTTAACTCCATGCCCAAGGACAGTCGACAGTCCACAGTCAAGCATTTCATATTCTGCTCAGTTTTTGGAGTAATTACTGTTGTAAGCGACCTTCTCTCCTGTTGCATGTCCATATCACCCTTAACGCATGTGTATATAATTTTGTGTTCTTTAATGGAAAGTTGGTAGATGAGCTTTTTTTGCACTGATCAAAGGTTTATTAGTGGATGACTTAATTGTTTTTTCATGGTATTATCATGCTGGACATTGCAGTAAATCTGATAAAGGGAATATTTTAAAAGGATGCGAGCAGTGGTACATGTAGTTGTGACAGGAAATGTTCAAAATGGGTCCCACAATCATACTATGCATAGCAATACATGTATGTGGTTTACTTATTGAACAATTTGAAAGCATGCAGTCATGATCAATGTCACCACTACAACCTCTAATTCATACTTTCTTTTATTCCTAAAAGATTTCTCCGCGATGCCAGTAGCAGTACAACGTGGTGCGGGTCCAAGTTGTTGGGATCGTGTTAAAATGGGTTTCATGTTAGGCTGTGCAGTTGGTATGGGTTCTGGTGCTATATTTGGAGGATTCAGTGCACTCAGGTGGGTTCATTAATTACTAACTTGTTTTACCCTTTTCACCAGAAGTTCCCTCTTTTAATCACAAATTAGTCCTGTTTATTATAAATTATAGTCTGCACTTTCCTTCCTGAAATATTGAAAGTCTGGTGGTAAAAAGTTTAAAACACATTTTCTATAACATTTTATAAACTTTTAAAGTTAACATGGACATCTACAGTCAGGGTTATAGCCAGAAAACTTTATTGAAATGGGAAATAGCAGTTGTTAGTCTATTTATGGTTATTTTGAGATTGACTCAAATTTTGTCTGTTGGCTCCAAAATTAAAGTTCATTCCCAGAAATATTGAAGAACATAAAAGAAAAAGTCTGGTGGTAAAATGGTTAAACCTTGTTTTGATTTTTTAAAAATTGCACATTGCACGAGACTCCTATCTAACTTGGCGTGATATGATTGTACATATGCTGTCTAACACCTGCAGGTATGGTCTAAGAGGAAGAGAATTACTTGGCACTGTAGGAAAAGCAATGATGTCTGGAGGTGGTACATTTGGTTTATTTATGTCAATTGGAAGTGGTATACGATGCTAGCTTACGGAGAACTATAAACACTCTGAGATTTCCTGGAACTCGCAAAGACCATGAATACTGTAATATGTACATTGGAAACCTGAATACGCAAGTTGCTCACATAGTACCAGTATGTGTAGTCAGAGAGCAGAGACAAACGTGGAAATCATGATATTTCAATTTGCGTAATGATTTCCTTTGCCATATTTAGAACAAATAAATTTTCTATGAAACTTTACAAATCAGAATAATGTTTTGTGTGATCGTAGGGTTACATATTATTTCTACGAAATGATGATCGCTACCAGTAATTTGCATAAAAGCTGGTACATAGCAACTGGCAACAAATGATCCTGTACATGGCTATTTTTTTCAGGTAATCATCTACATCACTGTAGCAAGACACTTCCATTCCAGCATGCAGTAGTCAAGATGCACAGCATCAATATTGAGTCTTTTTTAAAAAATTAGATTGCATAAGTACAGCGTGAACGCAATAGTCTCCATAAAGTGTCCTCGGCTGATCGATTGCTATGTCTATTTTTATTCTATCGATCTACTAGTATTATCATAGATCATGGAGCTAAAAAAAGCTCCATGCATAGATCAAGTCAAGGAGCTCAGGGTGTTGGTATACTTACAAACACCACTATTGAGTAGTTGATCCAAGCAGCTATTTCTTTTTTTTATGAAAAATCTTTTTAAAAATTGGGTTACCATAGTTCGGGGCGACAGTGAAAATATCTCTGCCATCAAGCTCTCATTATAGCCCCACACCTCTGCTGACCGATTTGTATTGTAGTCTGTGGACATGATGATTACCATGTCTATTTTTATCCTACTAATCTATTATCGTCAAGGAGATCAGGTTGTAGATATGAATGCAAACACAGTAACTCGCGTGATGCCATGTGACTGTCATACTTTCCTGTTTTTGGTTATTTCAAATTATACCAGAATAGTGCATTATAGCCGTGCTGGAATTATTTGCCTAGGCAGAATTTCATGATTATTGATTTGTGATGTTGTAGGATAATACTATTAGGGATAAGTTCATAATATTGTCACCAATAGCAGAGAAGGCATGTTTGATCGTGTGCATATCACGTTCTACCCGTCAGACCACATGATGTGAATTACATGTATATATCAAAGCAACACTTCACTTCAGTTATTTTTTTAAACAGTTTTATTGCATATTTTTGATTTACCGATAATAAAAAAAAACACACGCAAGACTTTGTATGTAAGCAAGTCTATGCACGGGTCTGTGGATAACTTACCACTCAGACGCAGATCTAAGAAGGAGATACCGGTACCGGTAATTAATTCCCCACTGACATCCAATTACGCAAGTACCAGAATTTTTAGTTCCCCATCAACATCCTATTACTAGAATGTATGTTGCTGAGCCCAATAGTAATTTGCAGAATAGAAAAAAAATGTTTTCATACCAAATAACATTTCTGTTGTATTATTTTGTTGCTATTCAGTGCTATAAAATACAGGATTGGTACTGAAAACTCATCTTTACATAAACATTACAAATCAACCGCTCCACCCTGTATCTTGCCTCTTTCTACTTAAAGACCAACAGGCCACGTGGAGTTTTTTATTCGAAAAAGTGTCCCACGGTGACTAAAAGCTTCACAAAAACCCGAGAAACAGTGATTCATTGCATTATATTTTCTATTTTTCAAATGCAAGTGGTGCCATGAATGTTCAGGGAAACCATAAATAAAAATAGTAGTGAATTTGACAGCTAGACCATTTACTTTTCCTGGAAAAATGGGTTTCAAAAGCATTGAGTTTCGAATTTGCCGGCACTGTAAGCTCCACCCACATTGCATATGAGGTGAAATAAACGCTACTAGTGCATTGTTTATGTTAGAGAATACAATGGAATGAAGTCCAGGAAAGATTGTCGAAACCAGAGTGTCTGTCTGACAGTGGTTGAAATTAACTTGTCAATGATAAACAGCATTCATAAGCCGTTCCTTACAATTTTGCCTGTAGTTATGATATAAATGCACTCGATGTACCTTTTTATTTATTCAACAACCTTCGCCCACTGCACTCATCAGGAAAAGTTCACACTTTGGTGTGTGGTCGATCGACAATCTCGTTTCAATCACGGTTACTTATACGAGTAACCGTGTTCAATGTAGAATCCCTTGGAATGAAATGCGATGCGCATGTCATGAAAAACAATTGACGCTTTCCACATGACTGGTATCGAGGGCGTGGACGTAGTATCAGGTTTTTTCTAAATAACATATTTCTGAATAAATGAGCGAAAGATGCTGGTTGGTAATATATTTTGGGCTCGTAGCGAGGATGATTATTTTTATAGTGATCCACGATCTAATTTGGCATGATAAAAAAATATTACGACCCAGTGATCGATCCAAGCCACTCTTGCCTGGAAAATAATACATGTAGGTCAAATCCGAATGCGTTGCCTTTTGTTTCGTTTCACCTGGGTCTGAGATGATGCAAGGACAATCAACATTTGAATATACAGTTCTCTTAGTTGTCTGAGGTAAAAAGTAATCGCTCAGAGACCAGAGATTTTCTCTACGCAAGGTAATTTATATCTGTGAATATATTTATTGAACATTGCAGCCTAGACCGTGTCACTTTAGAATGAACTGTGCAACTCTGCATACTAGTATACCCAACTTGAATTCGGATTCCAACAAGCTGCCTCATCGCCAGAATTGAATTGTTTATTTCACTTTACACAGCTCAGATCAGTAACTATACACATAAACAAAAGATTAGTACTATCTACATTTAATGAACAATTGACAGTCACTGTTGTTGAATAAATCAGTCAGATTAGAATACTAAGCTCCGCCCAGCCCATGGGTAGTAAATGTCGGCCTTCAACATAGATCAATGTGCCATCGTGTATTAGTATTTGTTGGTTCGGAGATCTGAAAATTATTTGATAAAGTTTAGTGATTTCCCCATTAAACCAATGTGATTTGAAACAGTTTAGATTAAATTATTATTTGAAGTATACATTTGTTTTTTGCCCATTCTATCAATCCCAGAGTTTGAATGTGGTATATTGACCAACATTGTTCAAACATGGTATACAACAACATCAAATTGTACCAACACGTACCATTGTATTCAAAATAGCTGACAGGCACAAATTGTCTTTGTTAGTGGTATTACACAACTGGATTTAATATGTACCGGTAGATCCATATACAGCATTTAGGTTTTACATACTATTTCATGACTGGGACTGTGTCATGTCCATGACTTGTTAGTCCTGGTTGCAGACAAAAACTAGCTGGTAAGGGGTTGATGGATAGAAGATGAAAAAAATATTTTTTTTTTTTAAATAATTTCCCTTCTACCGTACTTCCCCGAGCATAAGCCCCTCTCCGAGTATAAGCCCACCCCTCTGTTTTTAGACATTTAACAAGTTGAGGGCATCCCTGAGTATAAGCCCATGGTGTTTTTACCAGGCATCGACGACATTTATTAAAATATGCATGTAAAAAGTAATTCATAGCATAATAACCGTGAGTGGTACGGTAGTTTGGTTCCTGCTTTTACGAGAAAACTCGCATTAATTTCAGGCTGGCGAATGTACGAAACATGGCTCGCACATTTTCTATTCTGTTATTTACTCAGGATGAACCCCGATGTTGCAATACTGAAGTAATTCATATTTCTTTTGAGTAGTAGTTTTAGAAACGCCAAAAATGTGATCGTCAAGTCGTGAAACCTGGTCATTGAACATCGTTTTACTTTTCCGAATAACCGTGTCCATTGAAACTTTCGTGAATGGGATGTGATCGACGTGACTGGTGACCGTGAAAAGTTTAAATACTTCCTCCACCCTCAGTTTACCTTTTGAAAATTGCGATCAACAGCTTTAGGGGAAAAATCACTGTTTTCTGTCGAAATCAGATCGCATTTTAACATCGCGGGATTCACTTCAGCATTGCGCTGGAAAAATTACTTCGTCAATAATCAGTAAACTTTGTCTGTACGACACAACATTTTGATTGGTTAACGAAAGACGTGACCTGTTAGGTCAAAGGAAGTTGTTCAGGTCAAGTCATGATGCAAAACACCATGGCAGAAATTGCTTTGTATCGTGAGTTCGCGTATGTTCGAAAACATCCCACAACGAGGATAATGATAAAGATCTTGCCTTCGACTGTTTTCCCACAGACCTTAACCATTTTTGCACTGTAAATTCAGACAGTATGTAAATCGTATTGTAATAAAATGTGTGTATTTTTATGAACATGTTTGTTTCTTCATTGTAAAACAGTGTTGTGGAAATCAAAAAGACATATTTCTCAGAGACCGACGCTGTGAACGAAAAATATAATATATGGTTGGGAAGATGGTTATAATTTTAAACCCCCCAACAAATAAACTTTTCTGAGGTGGTCCTCGAGTATAAGCTCACCCCCTAATTTTCCCGATTTTACATGTTCAGGCCCCTGGGCTTATACTCGAGGAAGTATGGTAACTCTCTGTGGTCCTATTACATTGAAATTGACATACGAATGATGTATAGAACCTTGGATGTATGTGACTTGTACTGAACATTGAGATAGACTACCAGTAAAACCACACAGGAACTGTGCACAGTAAATACATATTTGTCATTTTCATAAAACTGATGCCAAAAAAAGATCAACTTGTTCATGGACCATGGGCAGACTCAAATCAAGAGGCCAACATTGGGAAAAACTTAACATTAAATGTTAGACTAGCACAACACATAGGTACAGCAAAAACAAGGCATTGAGAAATGAGAAGAAACTCTTGACCAAAAATAATCAACGAAACTCTTGTGTTTTCATGAGAAGTCAGAATGAGCTTTATCAAATACATAATAATCTGGCTAGAAGTTTTCAAGAAGTTATCAGCTAAAGACAGTCTGGTGTTGGTGAAAACCACACATGCTTGTTATAAAACTACAAAATCAAAATACAGATGGAACTTCTGAGGGGTTCATTCATACAAGCAATGAATGACCACAAACTTTGTTCATGAATATAGCTATGGGAGCCACTCACCTTTTTGAGATGTAACTTTTGAATTATCCAGCGGGTTTTCCATTCCAGGATATTTATGCCCGAATGAAAGATGATTGATACGATGACTCAAATTAAACTGAAAATAGACACAAATTTATCAATTAAAGGAAAAAAAAATCTTGTACTATGTATGTATTTTTTATCGAATAAAACATGTCAACCAAAATGGAAGTAAATGTTTATTGGTTTGTGCAGTATAGATTACCTTTTCTCCACTGAATGCCTGTAGATCATGCACGTGTACATGATGTTGTTGAAAACTTTTACCTGGAGCAAAATGAAAATTACCAGCAACCTAAAACAGATAATAGTGTTGGAGAATTTATTTGGTAATTTATTGCGAAAAAAATATTTTTAATAATGAAGTTGATTGAAATTGAGTTAAATCTCTGCCTGACTTCATAAAGTTTGTCTCTTTGCTATTAAATAATTACACCACTGTTGGTCATGTGAACCAATGTGCTGGCTGTATGTTTATTTCTGTAATTTAGTCTTTTGTTTTTATGTATAATATACTGTAAAAATGTCTTTTTTGCGAACATGTCTTTTTAGCGAATTTAGCGAGTGAACTGATTCGCTAATTCAAGATGTCACTAATGACTTCATGGAGGTGATAACTGCGCATTTGTTTTGGTATGCGCCAGTGTGAAAACAGGAAATCAACAATGACAAGGGAGATCCGCTAAATCAACATTTCGCTATTACATCATTTTACCACAATTCGCTAAAATTGCATGTCACTTTTTCAACATGTTTTACAGTAGTTGGGTATTTCTAAACTTGGCTTTGCTTAGTGTCACAGTTTGTAATTTTAGAGGTGGATGCGAGCTATTAAAAAAGTTCACAAAGTTTGGTTTGAACCACGACTTTGGTATTGGGAGTATCTATATCACCTAGTCTATGAGGGATTAGGTTGGAGTAGCTATACAAATGAAGATGTTTAAAGAATACATTATTAGCCATCATATGTAGGGGTTTTGTCATTTGTAGAATCACACAATTAGCTATGGTCTTTCAGTTTAACATCCACATTTATTCATCTCGATATAAATGCAGGAACTATTTTGCTTCATTGATGTAAGTGGAGTGATATTCATTATCATAAACACTGTTCAGTGCATCCTTGCTAGCCAATGTTTGTTTATTCAGCTCACCTCACCACTATGGATAAAATAGAAACATCTACAGTAGAAGATTTTCTTCCCAGCCAGAGATTTAGCTGACATTTTACAATCTTTAAATTGAGAGACGAAAGTCCAACTAGTGGTAATTAGATTCAATCTATTAATTTGTTTCCCCATTTTTTACTCTACTACAACTAAAGAAACCCAGCTATCAGCCACCGTGAAATGTGTGATAATACATATGTGCACGATGCAAGCTGTTATGCTCTCAGTATAAGTAGATAGATTTCAACCAACTTTTGGCCACATACAAAGACAACCCTGGCAAGTGAGAACTGTGGAAAGGCTGCCAAAAATGCATCAGCAAGTCATTGTGATCAGAAAAAAAAACATGCAACCATACAAGTTTTCATGTGCCAAACTCTAAGTGAGCACATGCTTTAGAGATGCCTCCAATCAAATCTATGCATTTTACCTAAGGGAAATATGCGACTTTTCGATAGAATCATGCGCAGATTAGTTGTGGAGTATATTTACTGGCAAAAACTTGTAAAAAATTTCTAGTTGTCCAGTTAATTCTAGGAAATGATAGCTTATGGTTAATAGCCTTAAGCTACTTTTAATTTGCACGCAACTAAATAATGATTGCACATTGGAATTTTAGCTTGATATACAGATAATAGTCCACATACCTTGTTAACCTCCAGGTGTCCATAAACCTGGCATCCTTCTCCTGATTGCGATTTCAATTTGTCTGACCATCCCTCTCGAGAACACTGTGCAATACCATCAGCATTATTAAATGCCCAACCCTTTCGTCGATACGCTTCCCTGACATCCTCACATGTATTGCAGCATCTGAAAGAGTAACTCGCTCAATATATGTTTTCTATATACTGCCCTCATGGCATCTGGTCAACCAGTATAGCGCCCTCACACATCCAGTGTGAAATTCACCATGGTATTAAAATCTAGTGCATATATGTATACTTCCAGATCCTTACCACTTTTCAGACAGTCAAAATGTAAAAAGGTATACTCCTTCTCAGACTACAGTTTTTTTTACAAGGGTTATGCATATTAAGCCATTTTGTGAATTAACAGTGTCATCGTTTGAACAAGATTTTCAAGGATTATATTTTGCTAAGTTGAAGATTCATTTCCAGATTAAAAAATGGGACCCCTATCCAGTGGCACATACATACGGGTATGTTGATACTGCCAAATAATTGCATTGCACTCATCCAAATTACTTACTTTAGATCTTTACTTTCAGCTCCATAGCAACTTTCACATCGATCTGGGTCTAATTTATCTGTTCTTTTTGCTAACTGAAACAAATTGTAAAACCTATTTTAAAACTTGTCATTTAATTGAGATTGCCGATTTGTGACACCAAATGACTTCATGATTTTGCAAATAAATTGACAAACAGTAGCATGTGTGATGGCTGGATTGTTTTTAGATCTGGTTGAGGACGAGTATCATCCACAAACCAAAGGTGCACAGATAATACAGCCCACTATGCTATGAGTGACAACCACATTTTTTTTACTTGAATTTTGAGGATTCCATTTTGACTCTGTATTCTTACAAAATCATGTTAGAGGGCACACTGGTGAGAAATGTTATAGTGTTAGACACAATCTACCAGTACCATCAAACTCATACATCCGTTCTAATTACAACATAAAGGGACTTTTCTATGCATACTTACATCAAAGTCCTTTGCTTCTTCACTTTTATCACCAATATCTTCTTTTTCTGGCGTAGCTACTGGTTTACCATTTTTATCTATTCTACTTTTCATTATATTATGGTCTACGTCTAGTTGTTGTTCCCCAGCTACGTCCATTGCATCTATACTCAAATCTAATACCAAAAAAACATGCAAGCATTATCCTTGGAATCAAGCAGGGTCACTTACTCTTTGGTTGCAGTATACATGTTTGTATTGGTAATTTTGAAACTCAAGGTTTCACACCACAATTAGAAGGTGCAGGGTCACACAGGCACCCACAAATGTAATTTGAAAACAACATGGATGTATTTTAACTAGTATGATTTTTAAATATGATTTGTTAATTGAATTTTTTAAGCACAAATAATAAGTTTCGAAATATCACTGCATGATGAGCTCTATTCGTCTGAAAGCGATAAAGTTCCATGAAAAGTTGAGATTGGTGAAACCTTTGTAAATATGAATACTAGCATTGACACAGAAGACATGCATAAAATAACACACTGTAACAATGACAACAATTACTTACATCCACATGGTAATGTAGGGAAAGTTATATCAAGATTTATTCTCATCTTTTCACCTCTTGTTGTGTCTACGTATAGTTCTGGTGTCACCTGAAATACATTACAGTTATCGTCGTTGATGATTACCATTTTATATAAATCACCTGTCTGCCACCAACCCTATCACTAGTCTGCCACTAACTCTATGCCAATTCCTTGTTACTTTCACACAAGTGGAAAAGGCTAAAAATACCATAATAATGTCATTGGTACCATTGCATTAACCTAATATGAAATCAAGAAGCATACACAAGGACAAGTGGCAGCCTTTGGTAGCTAACAATTTAACTGAGAGCTTTGAAAAACAATTGTGATTTGAGTAACAATGACAGCCTGCTGCTGTAACTAAAAAGATATATGTATCAGCAAAATTTGGTTGTTTGTTATTACTCACCTCTTTTGTTAAATAATAGTTAAGTTCTGATATAAATAATATAAACATCAAAATGCCACTTATAATTGTAACTGAAAAAAAGGAAAAGAAAAAACAAATTACAATCCATGGTTTATACCAGGCGACACATAAAATCATTCAGTGAATAACATAGTCTTGCAGTGTCTTAAGACAACCTTCTCTGTGACATTATTTCATGTCAGGATTTTCAACTAAATTTTATTCCTATTTTTTTTACCAAATTTTAGATAAAATTTTAAAAACAATTGTAATTGTAGTTACCCTTAACATTGCTTTCCTCAAATGTTTATGCAATATTTTGCACATTTTTGTGATTTTTTCTCTCTAATTTCTTTGTGAATTTTTGGCATTGGGCCATTCCAGTTTATATCTGCACCCCCTCCCCCTGTTGATGAGTTTGTGTGTTTAGTTCATACAGGGTATAATTTCCATGGGTGTACAAGTCATACAAAGTTTTATTTCCAAATCACCATTCACCATACAGTAATGGAAATCCAAAACTATAGTTCCTACTTATGGTGTTGATGAGTTCCTTTGTGCCACCATACAGAGTAGGATTTCCAAATATAACTTTCATCATATGCTAATTTACCAAGTTCAAAATTTTATATTTGATAATGGAAATCCAAACTAGTCCTGATTCACGGTGTTGATGAGCTCATTCGTGCTACCATACAGAGCAGGATTTCCAAATATAACTCTCGTCATATGATGCCAATTTTCCAAGTTCAAACTCCAACTGCGGTAAAGGGGAGGGACATCATATTAGTTACAGAATTAGCATTTTAAAACAAGCGGCCTGTCAGCTGAGATAGCTCTGCTGTTAGCAATACACATTTCAATTGAAGAACTGAAGATACATGTATCATTAGAAAATGAACAATATGTATAGTATCAAAGCAATCGGACTTGCTGTTTTCAACAAGAAGACGAAAATATCACTTGTTACAAAAAATGACAAAAATATCAAAATATCATCATGAAATGAACAAATCTGAGAGAGGTCCACATATAGTACCTATATATGTAATATCAAAGAAATCGAGCTTGCGGATTTTAACAAGAAGTCGAAAATATCACTTTTTACCAAAAATGATAAAAATATTCACAAAAATTAGAGAATTAAAGATATCATCATGAAATGAATAATCTAAGAGAGGTCTACCCAAGGTCTACATATACATATACACCAAGTATCAATGCATTCAGGCTTGTAGTTTTCAAGAAGACACGAACGACATTGACGGACAATCACTCATATGATAAGCTTCGCTCAACAAAGTCGACAGCGGAGCTAAAAACGATGCTCACATCACCCACAAATTAAAACG